GGATTAATAGACAGATCGCCAAAGGTCTGGATGAAGGAGAGACCAGCATTTCTCACTGATTTCAGCGCCATATCGTAGTAGTGGTCAATGCAGTAACTATTAATACGTTCCCAAGATAAGAGCGTCTCATGCTCATGAACTCGTCCGGCGGCATGTACGAGATTTATCTTTTCGTAGCGTTCGCGTATTTCGGAAAGGACAGAATTTTATGATGTTATAAATAAATAAATAAATAAAATATTAACCTGACCTATTATAATTATTTTTTAATAAATGTTTCATTATTATTATCATCTAAGTCTAAGTCGTTTAATTAATTTTTAGTTTTTTAATAATTAATTTAATTTATTCTAATCATTTTAATATGTGAAAAATACTAATACGTATACGTTTTATAATGAATTAATATATTTCGAGAGTCGAATTATATATTTTAATAATATAAAAGTGTTCAAAAATTATATTTGACTTTTAATTTTAATTATTTTAGCAAAGAGTTCCGAAATCTCTTACACACATAATAGGGATTTTGTTCATCCATATAATTCGCAATTAAGTATATATGTTAATTATTAATTTTAATAAAATACAAAATTAAAATTAAAGGTCAAATATAATTTTTGAACATAAATATATTTAATTCGTTATAAAACGTATACCCCGTGATAGTATTTTTCTCGTACAAAAATAACTAGAACAAATTAAATTACTCATAAAAAAAAAAAAAAAATAATTAAATAATTATATTATATATGATAATAATAAAACATTTTATAAAAAAAACAGATTCAATAAATATAAGTATATATATAACATGTACTTATATTTATTGAATCTGTTTTTTAATAAAATGTTTTATAAGCTTAGAAAACTTGACTTTGACGTAACTAGCAAATTTTATTTAATTATTTCACGACGGTTTGACGTAATAAAATGTTTTATTATTATTATAAAATATAAGTTTAAATTCTTTAATTAATTTTTAATCTTTTATGATTAATTTAATTTACTCTAATTATTTTTGTACGAGAAAAATACTATCATGGGTATACGTTTTATAATTAATTTAATATATTTGTGTTTAAAAATTATATTTGACCTTTAATTTTAATTTTTATTTTATTAAAATTAATAATTAACATATATACTTAATTGCGAATTATATGGATGAAAAAAATCCCCATTATGTGTGTAAGAGATTTCGGAACTCTTTGCTATAAAATAATTAAAATTAAAAGTCAAATATAATTTTTGAACACTTTTATATTATTAAGAATATATAATTCGGTTCCCGAAATATATTAATTCATTATAAAACGTATACGTGATATTATTTTTCTCATATAAAAATGACTAGAATAAATTAAATTAATTATTAAAAAACTAAAAAGTAATTAAACGACTTAGACTTAGATGATAATAATAATGAAACATTTTATTAAAAAAAGATTCAATAACTAGTAGGTCAGGTTATAATTTTTTATTTATTTATTTATAACATTATGAGCTATTAAGCTCATCATCTCGTTCGCTCTCTGTCTTGCTTTCATTCGGCAAGTCACAAACGATATATGATACTCGTATGTTCCTACTTCAACTCTCGAGAATCTGAAACAAACGAAACTCGTGTCCAATATACAGGGTGTCCGGTAACTAACAGACCAATGATTACAAATGGATTCTTTGGTCAATTTGGGAACGATTTTTCCTCAGCGAAAATGTCGAAAAAGGTCATCATTTTTTACAACTTTCCAATCTTTGTCATTATGTATCTTTATAACTAAGCCTTAAATTAAAATTTTATTATAGTAAACTCTACCTGAAATTAACTGAAGAATGTAATTATGTTAGACTTTTAACTCCAAAACGTTTAGTTTTCAAAAAACCTATTTTTTTCAATCGCTTATAACTCGAAAATTATTGACTTCTCAACATTTTTGCTAAGGAAAAATCGTCTCCAAATTGGCCAGAGAATCCGCCCTTAATCATTGGTCCGTTAGTTACCGGACACCCTGTATATATTATATAAAAGTGTATAGCACGTCAGAAGCTTGTGAGCTTACAGCGATAAGTAAAAACAATTGCGTATTTATTTCATTGCGTTTATCTGTTTAAACGCGCGCTTTAATTTTTCCAACGTTTTTGCCTGTTTATATTTTAAAGGTCCTCTCTTCTAAAAATCTTGTTTTAAAGATCCTCTCCGCGAGCAAAATTCGAAAACATAAATTATTTAATATTTTTACTTTATTATTTGTAAATCCTCGGTAATTTCAAAATTTTTCTATTTGAAAATTATTAATTTTCTATTGCCAATTAATTTTATCACAGACTTTACTCTTACTCCCATTGCACTTTCGTTTGCGGTTTTCAGTATACGATTTTTTATCGTAGTTACTGAAAATTATTATTGTGAATTATACTTGTGCAGTGATTTGAAGAATTTACAATTTCGTTGAAATTGTTGATTTTTCAAAAAATTACGAGATTCGCGGAAATTGCGTGCTTTCTTGGCATTTTCCGTTCGCGGCAGGCGGTTTATTTTTGATTGTTGCAAGTGTTTTTTTTTTTTTTTTATTAAAATAGATAATAATAATGTGAAATAAATCACGATATTTGACAGATGTGCATATATATAGAAATTGTAATAATAATAATATTATATCATAAAATTGTAAATTGTTTCAATTTTTTATAGACTGCGATAAAAGATTTTACATTTGGATAAGAAACTGCGGTAAGTAAAAATATAAAATTCTTGAAAACGTAAAAATATTTGATAACGTAAAAAGGTGAACTTTGAAAAATAAGGAACTTAAAAATTGCACTAATAAATGGGCTATATATATGTGAGCCGTGCGCGGATGTAGGGTGTGTTATATCGAAATTTAATTAATAGAATTGAGAATTAATCCCAATTTTAAGTCTTACAAATGTCCAAGCTAATTTTTTGTACCTCGTGTACATTTTTGAAAGTTATATCGAAAAATTAAATTTCAATATGCGTCTTACATCTCACATTTCGCATACGGCTCACATATAGCCTATTTATCTCTTATACTTTATTTCAACCCTTATAGAAATTTATTACTAGTAACGCCAATTTATCACTTATTTCGAGTAATTAATCACTTTTATTTCGAATACTTAAATTACTGTATATTATAGTATTTTAAATACTCAAAATAAGTGATTAATTGGCGTAGTGATAAATTTCTACAAGAGAATAAGGAGCCTTTAAATTCTTAATGTAAAAAATTTCAAGTAATTTTCTTTAATAAAATTTAATTAAAAAATTTAATTAAAAATTTTTGAACACTGTGTTATATCACATTTAAAATCGTGATTATTTCAATAAAAAAACATTTTATGTGTAAAAATATATTTTTTATATTTAATAAATTTTATATATATAGGGTGTCCGGTAATTCTCTCCTCAACCGTCGTCTGCAGGTAAAGTGAGTTAAACCGAACAGGAAAGTCCTCTACCGTTTTGCGATTTTCGCAATAATTATTGAGTTATTAAATAAAATAGATCGGGCCAATCCACGCGAATAGAAGCACGCGACGAGAAGAGACGTCTACTGTAACACGATACACGAAGATTTCTCGAACACGATTCGTAGAAAGTCATCGTTCGCTCCTCTTCCGCTTGCGACGCGCCGTGTATCGTGTTACAGTAGGACGTCTCTTCTCGTCGCGCGCTTCTATTCGCGTGATTGGCCGATCTTTTTTATTTAATAACTCAATAATTATTGCAAAAATCGCAAAACGGTACAAGACTTTCCTATTTGGTTTAATTCACTTTATCTGCACATGATGGTTGAGGCGACAATTACCGGACACCCTGTATATATGCATTATGTAAAATATTCTCTCTCTCTCTCTCTCTCACACACACACACCACACACACACACACACAACGGGGCCAAATCTCTCAAATTGGTCTCATGATCAATTAGCCTGGATTCGCACCAGGGGCAAAGTCTGTTGGTAATGTCAAACGAATTTAGCCTGGACTTGCACCAGGGGCAAAGTCTTTTGGTCGAGTCTACGAAATTTAGCACGGACTCGAACCAGGGGCAAAGTCTTTTGGTTCAAGTCTACGAATTTAGCACGGACTCGAACCAGGGGCAAAGTGTGTCGGTAAGGGGCAAAGTCTATCGCACGAAGATGGCGGTCTCTTCTTTAGGCAGGCCTTTGGCGATCTGTCTATTAATCTGTGCCCATGATAGTGGCCGGTAACCTATAATATATGATTGATATTTAAATATTTTGCATGTTAATTTAAATTAATTTACAATCTACGATTGTGGTGTCGTTGACATAAAATTACGTAGCTTTGTACGAAAGAAACTCGCGATGGTTGAAGAATCGGAACAGGTAAGTTTCGAAATTCATGTAGATCGTTGTATTTAGTCATTCTCGATGTAATCTCGTATTATGTCTTCAAACAGTTGCCGCCGATCGATGTAAAAGAGCCCCTGGATCTCATAAAATTGAGCCTGGAGGAGCGAATTTATGTAAAAATGAGGAACGAAAGAGAGCTCCGAGGGAAATTACATGTAAGTACTTGTTGCTTTAATTGCGCTTTGATTCTCGATATTTCAATGTATTGTATTTTATACAGAGTGTGGAGTTAATTTATTTTAAAATATTACAAATCAACGTGAAATTAAGCCAAATTATAAAAAAATAATGTTTACATCTCAACCATAATTCAGGCTTTCGATCAACACTTGAACATGGTGCTCGGTGATGTGGAGGAGATCATAAACATAGTGGAGATTGATGAAGAAACATACGAAGAAATATATCGGCAGAAGAAAAGGACCATTCAAATGTTGTTTGTACGCGGTGATGGTGTGATCCTGGTGTCTCCACCCACATAAGATAACTGTAACGCTTGCACATCATATTTCTCTCATAAAAGTATAAATACTTTCTAATGCAGTTTAACGTGTAATCTATAATCAAATTTTACATTATCAATTTGATTTTTAGCATGCAAACTGAGCAGGTGATCTCGAAAGCTTGAGAAATATTTTACAATTGATTACAATAACTTTCTTCTTAAAATATAATTATTGATATCTGTATTACAAGAATCTTTAGGTGTAATGGATGGATAATAAAGTGTATTCTTATAATATATAGTACATGTGTAAAAAAAAAAGGAAAGTAAGCTACATTATTCAGTGCACATTGGAAGATGTATAATTATAGCATCTTGATAGGATTTATTGGGACAACTTGGTAGAAGTATGTAGTTTCGAGATTCCACTGCCGATAACGTGAGGACGCAGAGTAGCTACGTTTCTTTCAATCGGCAGCCTCGTGATTTGTATCGTGAGGTCGTCGATCCTTTGATCTTTCAGTTTCATTATGCTTTCCATGTGGGAGATCTTTTGCTGTAGCGTAGAGATGGTGTCGTTTTTCTCTTGTAACTCCTGTTTCAGGCGAATAAAGACATGTCGTGGGACAGTTTTGTTTGCTACTTCATCGGGATTTAGCACCGACTTCACCGTCTCTAAATTGTGCACAGGGAGAATGATCCAATGAAATTATTATAGGTGATAATAAGAATTCAGAGAAATCGAGGAGAAAATTCACAATCTATCTAATCTATTAAGTTAAGTATAGGCACCTTCACTGTCTTCATGGCCAGAGTACAAAGATTCTCTGTCGGCGTTACAGTCTTTCAAAATTTTGGCTCGTAGATCGACGAGAACCTTCTCGATAATACCTGGCTGAGAATTGGCCAGCTGATTGATCGCATCCTTTCCTAATCTCATTTCAAGTTTCGACAGCACCTTGCGATTAAGCGTGCACCAGTTATCAATCTTCCTTGCAATGCTGTTGCCGGCGACATAATTGTGCACGTCCACATGCTTAGGATAATAACGTTTCAGAAGTTCTGCCATCAATACTAGAATTTAATTGTTTTACAATTAATTTTTTTTTAAATATTATAAGATTATTTGGAAAAAAATGTTAATTTTTTTCACAGTTTTGTAGAGAATCGACGGATAAATTTATATAGAAAGAAGACTGATGCGTCCACATTACCACCATCGGAAAAGTCTCTAGCTATATTTTTTTTAGGTCTGGAAAACGTGATTTGGTCAATCCAGTCATAGATTTCATCGAGGTGATCACCGATCTCCGAATTCGCGTTCATGTTCATTATACCTGATGATTCGCACATTAACGAGAATGTGAGAATGATGAAAGAATCACGAGAAAGAGAAGGAGAGAAAGAAAGAAGGAAGTTATGTATATTAAAAATTTGTATACGCGGTTGACATCTTGTTCCTGTCAAGCACCGAGCGAATCGCTCAATGTTCGCTCGAGCCTATCTTCAAGTTTATTCGAATAAACAACTTGTTCCGCATTTGAAATTAAATAACAGAGTGCGTCAAACAGCTACAACAATATATCTAATAAAAAATCTTAAATATTTAGATTTTCATTCATGAAATTTGTTGAAAAGTTGAATGAATTGCATTACTTGTAGACAATAACGTCACATTTCTTGAATATGAAACATTTTTATATAATTATTATCAATTATTTTCCCTGTGAAACATCAATAAGCTAACGCAATTTCTAATTGAATCCTCCTTTCCTTCTCTGAAACTGCAATGTATTTTAAGAAAAGTTGCAAGTGATGCATCACTTGTTCTTTTCTCACGTGTCAATGACTGATGTCGAAAGTATGACACGTGCGTCGTGCGGGCCTTTCCTTTTACGCACACATACGCATCCACATGCGTATTTGAAGCGGGTGTTTATAGAAGAGGCGCAGACTCCCCATCCCTCCAGAGAGAGTCGCGTCAAGTTCTTCGAGCTTCTCGTTGCTTTACATCAGTAACACGCAGCTCTCGTAACCGGAAGCATCAGGCTACTAAAAGTGATCTATAAAAAGAAAAAGAAAAATTTATAATAATATAAATTAAAAAAGGGAAATTATAAAAAATATTAAAGAACGTCGTGCACCCTTCGTCAAAGTTTACTGAATATTTTTAAAAAGCATCTTAGAAGACACTTCGTCAATAAAATGGCTATAGAAAATATTCTGACGGTGAGTAGTGATTTTTTTATTAATTTTTAAGAAGATTTAGAAAATGTAGATTCTACAGATATAATTTAAAACTAAAATCATATGAAAGAATATAAATAATAAAACATTGTTTAAGAGATAAAAAATTAATTTATCGACAAAAAAAAAATATATCTCATTTTTGTTACTATCTTTTATACCTAACATTTTATTTCATAAAACATCATAATATTTAATAAACACTAAATAAAACCTATATATTTCTCAAACAATTTTATTATTGCGTTATTTAAAACTGTTTAAAGACATTAACAATTCTAATTTCAAAAACATCTGACCTTGACGTGTCCTCTATACTCCATCGATTTTCTCAAGAGAGATATCAGGATAATTTTAATCACTTTTCTGATATATAAATTGATATTACGATACCTCGTGTACATCACATCATATGTCATCCTAATGACGCAACGCTATGCAACAAGTACTATCATCATTCAAAAGGTATAAAATTTTGCACCCATATATTTCTACAATAAAAGATTTAATTAAATGCGGCAGTCGAATATTATAAAAATTAATTAAAACATGTAATCTTGCAATATCCATCAGGATGACATTTAATTCGAAGCGCAGTCCATATGTTAGTCCTCTATCTGCGTAAATATATACGTTCTCGTTCTTAAAATAATCTTTTAAGTACGCCTTCATACAAATGCGTTAAGTCTGACAAAAAAGTAATCGATAAAACTAAAAAATATATATATTCCGTGTATGATTTAGAAAACTGATATTCAAAATTCTTTTCTTTGTTATGAAAATTATTCATACAAATACAAATTCACGTATTATAATTCTGTCATATTTTAAAGATAACAAAAGCACTTATGGTTACTTTAGATAGATGATAAAAGTGCCATATGCATATTACTATCTTTTGTATAAAAAAAAAAAAAAAAAAAAGAACAATTAAAAAGCTCCAAACTTGTTGCGCATATATAAAATATAATAATAAATTATATCAATAATAAAAATTAAATAATATAAAAAATTAATTAAACATATTAATTAATTTTTTTTATCTTGTATATATATATATATATATACAACACAAAGTGAAAATCTCCACGTGAATCTAAAATTCGAGATATTTAAATAAAAATAAAAATATAAAATTGTAATAAAACTAATTTTACCAATTCCATCACAATCTCCCAAAAAAACAACATATACATTAATGTTATTATTGATTTCTAGCTGCAAGAAGAGTTATAGTATTTCCGTTTCGATACATGATGGCCATGATGGGATCTATCGGCCTCGCTATTCTTTATGGTTTTAAAGTCAATGCTAGCGTGGCGATTGTCGCTATGGTGAACCATACAGCTGTCAAATTATCCACATACAATTTAGAAACTGACGACAATACTACGACAGTGAGCGCAAACGTTTGTCAGTTTGACGATGCCTTCAATGTTGCAAAATTAAAGTCGAGGTATGACAATATTTTATATAAAAACAAAAATTGACACAAACGCGTGTATAATTCTCATATCCTTATTCCAAAATAAAAAATTTGTTTTTAATAGGAGAAAACAAAAACTAAATATTATCACATTATTATTGCATTTTTTCAGGATGGTCCATTTGCATGGGATGAGATTATTCAGGGTTTAATTCTATCTTCTTATTTCTGGGGCTATACAGTGTCTATGTTGCCGGGTGGAAGACTAGCAGAACTCTGGTCAGCCAAATGGGTAATGAATGGATCAGTCCTGTTAAATCTCGCAGTTTCCATATTGACACCCATCGCCGCGAATATTCATTACTCACTCTTCATAGCAATGAGATTTCTTCAGGGAATCGGCGGAGTCAGTAACATTCCAAGTTTATATTAATGAACTTGTTCCTAAATATTTGGATACGATAGACAAATTTAAATATTTATACTTATATTTATAGGGTGTATCATTTCCTGCTATGCATGTTATGATAGCCAAATGGTCACCACCGAATGAAAGGAGCTTCATTGCCTCGCTTGTGTATGCAGGTAAAGAGATTAAATTATAGAATTTTGCAAAAAGTTTTAGCAATACGTTCCACAATATATCTTACATTGTATCATCCTGTTTTTTTATCATGATTTTAGTTTCATACTTGTAATCATGTGAAAATTACAACGATAGTTTCGCTGTTAATTTTGACTGTAATAAAAATCATAACACATTAAATTCCTGAAATTTCAGACGCGTCGCAAATTTTAATCTTGAGAAAAGATCAAGCTGATAAAGTTCTTTTACTTTAGGGACTGCACTAGGTACCGTAATATCTATCTTGTTAACCGGTCTGCTGGCCGCGAATCTCGGTTGGGAGTCCATCTTCTACGTAGAAGGCGCGCTTTGTCTGATTTGGTGCATCGCTTGGTGGTTGGTGATAGCAGATTCTCCGGAAAAACAGATGAGATTCATCAGTCCAAAAGAAAAAAATTATATCATCACGTCTTTGGGCGGATATGACAAGAAAGATGTCCCTAAAACGGTACTCAAAAATTAATCAATTGTTATACTCAACAATTTTTCTATGTATTTTTTTAAAATCTGTTTATGCATATTGTTATTAGGTTCCATGGGGACAAGTGTTTCGTTCCAAACCATTCATAGCGATTCTAGTTGCCCATTTTTGTAGCAATTTCGGCTGGTACATGCTACTTATTGAACTGCCCACATTTATGAATCAGATCTTGAAATTTGATATGAGCTCCGTAAGAGAACTGTTTTAAAACTTAACGCAACAATGTACGTGATTTAATGCGCATTATTTTACAAGTGTATTTATTTATTAACAGAACGCAACATTGTCGTCCGTGCCGTTTTTGTGCATGTGGTTCTTCACTATGAGTCTCAGCAAAGTGTTAGTTATTTTGCAGGAAAGAGGTCTGATCACAGTAACGATATCTAGAAAAATCGGCACTCTTTTTGGTAAATTTAATATTAAAACTATATTTGCAAAAAAAGAGATGAACTTTGAATCAATCAAACGCTCTGTCCTCCATAACAATTAATTTATGGACTTTAAATCTTTTAATCAAATAATTATATAATTTTATAATTACAATTGCACGTTTATTGCAGCGTCTGTCGTACCCATGCTCTGTTTGATACAAGTGTCATATGTTGGATGCGATCGCGTTAGAGCAGTTATATTGATGACAATCGGAATAGCATGCATCGGTGGAATGTATTGCGGCTTTTTGGCAAATCATATAGATATCGCGCCCAACTTTGCTGGTACTCTGGTGGCGATGACAAACGTCGTGGCAACTATACCTGGCTTCGTTGTGCCAGTATTTGTGGGAAAACTGACTCATGGAAATGTGAGTAATAAAGCAAAAAACGACGATTTAGAATAGGCACGCGCATGTACATCTTGATTTTATTGTTTACAGCAAACCATAGAAGCATGGAGAATTATATTCCTCGTAACCAATATTCTATACGTAATTGAAATACTGGTTTACACTATCTTTGGAAGCGGCAACGAACAACCATGGAACAAAATTAAAACATCTGATGAAGTAAGTGATCAAACATTACCTTTAAGAGAGAATAATGCGAAATATGGTACGTAAAATTTTACATATGTATATACTTTTTAAGATGCTCTGTCTTAATTTATAATTAATTATTTATGTTTCATTGTAAACGATTCTGTAGATCTTTCTGTAGACTTTTCATATGTGTACATATACATATATTTTGTGCTATATTTATGCAAAATATAATAGATTTATCAAAATATTTATTTTACAAGTAAGATTAAAATTTATTTAATCTTAAATTTATTATAATATAATATCTATTTATTTATTATACAATAACATCTATAACAACATATAGATCTTGAATTATTTGTATGCACTCACCTCACTATGTACTGTCACTATCGTATCCTCACTATTTTACAAAAGTACATGGGACCCCAATTGTTGTCGAGAGTAGGAATGACGATATGGCCGTGTTTTAATGTAAAATCATGAAATTTATAAAGGCATCTCAATGGCTTTAATGCTTCCCTCATATCTCTGCTCCAAGAAAGAATATTGATATAAAATTATAATAAAACAAAATTTATTATCATTATACATATATGCATAAAATCCTTACTTTACGACCATGATAGAATTGGAGTCTTCCCAAGTCTTCTTTAACGCCATACCGACGACGCCGTCGTTTTGAATAGGGCTGAGAGAACAGGTAGAATACACGACTGTTCCACCAACTGCTACTATTTTTAAGGCGTTACTGTAATGAGAATTATATCCGATGAAACAAGATAATGCAAGACTTTGACAATTGTATAAAATCAAGTTTAGAATATTGATTTTTGTACGTACGTTAGAATGGCCGCTTGCAATTCCGGCATTTGTAATCTCTCTCGAATCCTCTGTGGTTTAAAGATGTTGTTATCTTCCGAATGTAAAACGTGTCTGTCTGTGGTGCATGGTACATCCACCAAGATCTGCAGAAGAATTATCAAATAAATTTCTAAAAATTCTATTATGCATCTTTTATATTTTATTACACTATATAGTATCACCTTGTTATATATATCTTTGTCTTCGATATATCTCGCGTCTCGTTCTGTCACGTATAGTCTGTCTTTCCATTTTCCAATACCAGCAACATACTGATTTATGACATTGTGGATCCTTTTCACTCTGGACTGAGAAAGGTCATTAGCAACTATCGTACGTGGCATGAGCGTCTGAAGAATACTCAGAGTCTTTCCTCCTGGTGCTGCACACATGTCTAGCACGACGTCGCCAGGCTGCAAGTCCAAAGCCAACACCGGTAATACAGAAGCACCATCCAGAAGATAATAATCTACACAACAAAATTGAATATTTATATGGATAATAAAATTCTTCTAGTAAAGACTAACCTAGAACTCCTGTGGATCCGTTCTTTGGAGATGGAAATGGACTATCGTTGTTTTCTTCAAATGTATAAATGTTGAGGTACTGTGGAAACATTAACGTTGCTTCTTTTTCAATGTTTATTGAGAAATCTGCACCTTCTTTGTAATAGCCATAGTGTTGCGATTCTAATATCCAGTCTTCCATACCTAAAGATGAAAAATAAACTCATATTAAATCAACCATGCATATACAGGTAGACATTTTTGATTATCTATAATTAACACCTTCTATAATATATTGTTTTCTGAGTGATATATCAATTACCTTTAATTTTCGAAGCTGGCACAAATTCATATAGTCCACTCAAGCCAGCATTGGGATGTACAATTCGATTTTCGTCCAACATCACTTCATTCAAGTTAGCATCTATAGATTTCATTTCTACAGGCTGTAATCCTGATTTCACCTTATTCTTATCTTCAGTTTCATCTTCCTTTTCTGTACTTGGAGACACAGGTAGTGACGCACAATCTATGGGATAATGCGATTGTATTGCTGACACCTGAGCATCGGTAATTACAGAATCTGTTTGCTGTTTTTTTGCTGGCTTTCTCTTTTTTTTCATTTTAGATTTATCTCGATGAGCATTAATGTGTTCCTTATAAGTTTCATAAATTGATTTTAGATTCATGGCACCATGTGACTAGAAATAATAAAATGTATTTTATTAGCTATAATTTTAATAAATAAAATAATGTTTTACTGTATTACCTCCAACTCTGATTTGATTCTATCTATATCACTAAAGCTGTTCACAACAGCCATATATTTGTGTGTTTCTTGCAGTAACGCAGTTCTTATGTCTTCCCACGATTTTCCATAGACATTAGCATAAAATTCATCAAAATGTGCCAAGGCCTTATCCATGTGTGTTTTCTTCTTTCTAATCACAGACTAAGTACGTGACAAGAAAAATGATAATTAGAAAAAAGACAGAAATTTATGTAAATAATTATCTTTTAATTAAAAAAACAAAACAATTTATCCATAAATATAAATATATTTATAAAAGAAAAGTATACTCCAAGAAAAAGTCATGCCATAAAAACTACAGAGCATAATGCAAGTATTTTACCCAGTGATCTGCCTTATGAGCGTATTTGCAAACTTGCATTTTTGCGAGTTCGCGGACAGTCGATCTATTAAACAAACGTGCCATTCTTGCGTCATAAACTCATAAATTCAGCTCGCGTATTAATATTATTCCAAAAAATTCTGCAATTTTGAGGTTATGTTTCACCGGCAGATCTCAATAATGGAACTGCGACATTTCTCCCGTTAGATGGCGCTTCGGTTAATTCGGCGCGCCGCCGCTAGATGGCGCATGCGTTTAGTATTCGAGTTGGAATAACATCGACCAACGGCTTTTAGATGACGCCATCGACGCCATATTGACGATTCGGCTCCAAGGCTATTCTCGGCGATGCCGCGGTTTGCGATTCACCGTTAGCGAAGGGGAGCGAGAGACGATGAAATACAGGAAGAAAAGGGCGTGAATCGCGCACAGGTAAAGAGGCGAGAGCGAGCGAGCGAGCGCGCGAACGCATGAGTTTACGGTACTACCTGTACCTGTACTATTGGCGTCATTTTTCTTCATCCTTGATTGAAGTCGCGACTTGTTATGGCGTCGCAACAGGAGCGCTCGAATTGTACATCCTATTATAAGCTACATCTGCTTTAATTACTTTGAAACGTCATGTTCGGCTGCTCCCGTTGCTATAACATTAAAATTTCGATGAAGACGAGGTATTCTGCGTTGTCAGCGAATATAGAGAGGGGTACGAGAATAAGAAGGGGGAGGGGGGAGGCAAGGTGGTTGTTCCCCGAGGAGCGAGCAACTCCGTTTCTAATTCGATCCAGGTCATTCACACCTGTGTATCGCAAGAGTACTTGAATTTCTCAATTGCCTTGCAACGGCGTCCGAATGCGCGTCTTAAAGTCTTCCCTTATCAGTATACCTTTAAAAGGCTATAAATAGCAGGAATGACTCGAGTTTCTATTACAGGAACTTCCTCCCCCCTCCCTCTCCATCTGTCACCTTGTCGCGTGTTCCTTCGAAATGGACTTCCATCGTATCATCGATGCTCATCGGCAGACTCGCCGTGGAGCCAGGAAAGCAAACAGGTAGACACATTATTTCGCCATCCATCGAGCGTTATCACGACGACGAGGCAACGAGGAAACGACGCATTTGTCGCGACATGGTTCGCGAGTAAGCGGGGCAAGGAGGGGAAGGAGTCGCGCGGGGGGAGGCACATCCGAGTCTCCCTCCAAGCGGAGGCGGGCATGTGAAACGTGGCTGTTTCGAAAGTCCCTGCGCGAGCGCCTATTTTAGACGCGGGGGGGCGCTCCGTTCGACTTTAAACAGCATCGCGGGATCAAAAAGCCCGGATTCTTTGTTACGCCGAGATAAAAGAAGCCTTTCGGAATCGGGGGTTGTAACCCGAAACTAAGGAAATATATGTATGTAACGCAAAATATGTATCGCGCCAAAATACCCAAGTAGCAAACTGACGTCATGGCATTCAATGACGTTCGCTTGCTACCTGGATATCGCACACGATTTCAGATATGTGTAAAAATGGGGAGAAAAAATGAAGTCGTGTTCGTATCTTTATCGCGGCTGTATCCGCACGAAATGATTGCGATCCCGCGACCGATGATCTCGAGCTCAATCTCGCTTGACCGAATCGATAACCCTGTAACCCTCGAAACTTTAGCGGTGAAAGTCTCGTGCTAGAGAGTAGCCGACGATGGAGGATCAAAAGGAGAGAATGTCATTATCTGTCTTTTGAGAGGAGGCAAATCTCTCTTTATCAACCAGTACGAAGAAGAAGAGGAAGAAGAAGAAGACGACGTACGGGATATACACCGCACCCCGTCGACACACGAGACGTGTGACTTCCCTGAACCTTTCCCTCGCCCCTCTACCCTTCTTTACGATGAGTCTCGACGACCCGAATCGGCGAAGCTGGTTTCGTGGATCTCTTCATGAGAGGCACGTCGTACGCGATTTGTCGAGGGAGAGAGAGACAGGAGGGAGGGTACGGGATGTGACGGGGGGTTCGTAAAGGCAATGCACTGTAAGGAGCTCACGACGACTATACCCTCCCTTTCTCTCTTTCTCTCGTGCTCTCTCCCTCGTCGATCGCGGCTCCGTAACTCTTTTCTTCTCGCTCTCCCTCGGCGCGTTCCACTCTTTCTCTTCCTCTCTCGATTCCCTCCCGCTTCCTCTATCTTTCTCTTCCTCGTTCTACGACTTCTCTCTGTCCGTTGCCTCTCCCTCTTGTTCTCTCTGTACTTATCCGTCTATCTTTGCCGTCCTCCCTTCCCTCCTATCTCTTCCTTTCTCTGCCGCCCTCTCCCTCGAAGAGGGCGCGATGGGGCGCGCTCGCTACTTGTGCATCGCTCCTCGACAACCGCCTCGACTCGAGCCGATTTTCGATTCGAGGGATCTCCGCATTCTCGGGTATATACGGGATCCAAGGGTTTCTTCATCCTCGATTTCCCCCCAGGCGTTATTTTAACATTCAAAACTTATTTGAAATTAATTTCCCTCCTATATTTAATATTATAAAATTATTATGAGACACTCGAGGTTGTGATAATGACTATTTTCATTGTTAGAAAAGATTATATATATATATATATAACTGCATTTAAATGGCGAATGGCGCCAGCTGACGAATTCCCTCACTTGACGCAACTTGATAATTGAAAATATTTAAATCGCTTAGGTTCGCACAATTCAAGCCGAGTACGCCTGCGGGGCGGGACGTCCGGGGCCAAAGGACTCGGAAGTTACGACATCCAGCGCACAATACCGCTTCCTGTCGCTCGTGACCTTTGATCTCTGTCTATCCCACTACTTGTGATGGCACCTCATTCGCAATGTAATTCCGAACGACGTGGCGCTGTAGCGAATCTAATCGATCGGCACATGGAAAAGGAAAAGCGGAATTATGATAATTCGTCGACAGAAACACGTACGTATATATACTCAACAACCTTTCACAAAATGTTTAAACTAAAAGCGAACCATTTTTTAAAATACGCATATGTATAAATTTAGATAGAGGTGAATTTAGATAAAAATTCTAAACAAACTTTCTTATATAGGATACAGGATCGCGTCGTGAAATGATTATTCTACCTTGAACAACGGTATCTGGCCGAGAACGGATAACGGAATATATATATATATATATATATATATATATATATATATATATATGTATATAACGAAGGGGTTATCCTCTCCGCGATCCCGAAAGTCGAGGCTTTTCACGCTCGTAGCCAAGATTCTTCCACGCGCCACGTCGCGATCCGGTTTCAGAGGTGTCGACAATAGGTGGATTGATTTCTTTCGGCTCGTCTGGAGAAAAGCTGTCTCTCGGCGAAAGGACAGTCCGCTGGAACCCTTATTTACCGTTTGCCGGCCCAATATCCTGGGCACGTGACGCGCGCGCGGAGCCGAGAGTGCGTACATATGTACATACATCGACGTCGTCGAACGCGTCGTCGCGTCGGGGTCGTTGAACGAGCAGAGGGGTATTCACGACGAGGACGACACTAACGACCGCGCTCGAGCGCACCAACCCACTTGTGTCGACCCTGGACGCGAGTCACGTGCATACGCGTACATACGGAGCCGACAATAATGCGATCCGGAGGGTGTGACCCGTTCCACATGTCTGACTCTCTCTCTCTTTCTTTCTCTCTCTTTGCGCGCATTCGTCTCTGTCTTTCTGCGCGATTGTTCAGACTTGGATCGTTTTCAAGTTGAAGAATACAAATGATAAGGTTAAATCCGTCTGATCAATATCCCTTCATTTATACAACATTCGTCTGTTGTATTCTTTCTAAATTCAAAACTGATCTCTTCAAGTTTAAAATGATCTGTATAAAGAAAGTTTTGTTTAGAACGAGATTAGTTCCTTTCAGGTCTTTACTAAAACTTTTTATATACTTTATTTCAGTACCAAGCATATTGCCTTTGATCAATAATTTTGTAATTACAATCTCCTTCGGATTAATTCGTCGAGAGAAATTGATTCTTATCTTCTTAAATAACCGAGTGAAGAGAAAAATACTTTATTACTTCACGTAGCAGCTGATACTTTATTATCGGGCGAAAGCAATACCCCGTTCGATGATTTTTGTTCGGATAAATACACATCTTTCTTGACCGTTCCTCGATTTTCAAATACCCGGAGCTACTTCTCTCACTATGTCTCTCTGTCTCTTCTCGACGATATACGAGGACGAAAGTAGGTAGGTAGGTAGGTAGGTGGTCAGACGGAAGTCAGTTTAACGGTATCATCCGAGAGAGCTCAGTCAGGCTTCAATCCTTGGCGCGTGGAACGGGGTTCAACGAAATTCTGAGATCTCTTGCGTGATATTGCTTATTTTTCTTCGGGGTATTTTATACTCTAATCCTACAAAAATGAGACATTATTTGGGAATGCATATAGTCGCTAATGCTAATGATAGCAATTTTACTGATTAATTTAATTAATAGGAAGAAGGACACAAACGAGAATCAAACGACTTTGACAATTATAAACTAATAATAATTAGGCTCTCATCGAGCCTTGGTATTATTAAGAAAATCTGTTTGTCATTCTAGTCAATAATCTCTTCATTTATCTTTAATCAAGTTTCCCTCATTTTCTTTTCCTTCTCGTTACTCTGATTAGATCGTGGTAAATGAGCCCGTATTAACATTTATTCACAAAAGTTAATTGACTTTCGACGAGCCGATTGTGCCCCCATTCGAACAGGGTTGCTGGGAACCATTGATTGTCGGGAAAGAGGACGTTGACCCTGCGGCGCTCCCACACTGCATTACGTCAGACTATGTCCACCACGTGTCTCTTTCATTCTCTCGGCATTTTACGGGCACTTTAAGCGTAGGGTTGCACCTTGCAAGGTATTGTCTCCGATGCTTTAACTTCTTCGGGAACGAGAATAAGGGAGAATAAAAAAATACGTGGCGCTCTTTGCTAGTTTTTTCTCAACACACGTTTATCTTCTTGTTATACTTAATCTCATATATTAAAGGAATGCGCACCTCAAGAAGGGGTTATCTTTATTATCAATGCACTGAAAGTGATAGTGGAGATAAAAACGTGTATTCGTATTACATATATTGAGATTTTCTCACGCACGATAACGAGAATCTCAGAAGCAAAAGTTTTTATCAAGTTTTTTTCATATATTTCTCGAATAATCTTATCTGCATTTTCATTAAATTTATCCCCAAGTGTATAATATATGTGTAAATTACATTGAAAATATTGTCCGTTACATCTTTTCATCTTTCTTCTTTTTAGAAGTATCCACATAATTAGAGGATTCCCCATATTATTCCGTAAAATCAAAACAACACCTTGAAAGCACCGGCAGCTGGGACAACCTGTTGCGACCACCCTAAACATTGGACCGTAGCGGGAGGCATCTGATTGGTCCGAGCGAGAGAAAAGCTAGACGGGTTGGCTTTGGATGGATGGACTGAAAGCGAATAGAACCGGATGGCGAATAATGAACGCGTGCTCCTTCAGCAAATTTTGCGAAGGTACGATTTTATGAATCAGTCAGCAGTCTCGTAAATTCTGATTTATAGTCATCAAAAGTATGCTAAATTTTTATAAAATGATAAAACTTTCTCAAAGTTTTTCACATTATGAAATAACAGTAAGAATTTTTTACGAGTCCGAAAAATTCTTTGAACCTAACTTTATGAAAAGAAATAGTCACGATATATCAGTCTGGTTTTTTCCATCTGTAATTTTATATTCTATAGTTATATCTTACTGTCGCGCTTCTAGCTTTGCAATGCAAATGCGTTTCGCGGAAACATTCGCAATAGATTCAATTAACCTGGATAATCCTGTAAACTGGTAATCCTTATCCGTCTCGAGGGTCGCTCTCGTTGAATCAAGGTGAAATCAAATGCGTTACCTGTCTACCTGACCCGCAGAGGGATGAAAGGAGGAACGGCGCGGGGAAAAGAGAGGAAGAGGGAAACACGAACAAAGGGCGTATTCACGCGTCAAAAGTCACCACAGCGTGACGGTAGGGTGGTCCATGGAGAGAAACCTGTGGGACCTACTTTGGTATTTCAGCGCCATGAGCACTTGTCGCACGACTGGCTGTTTGTGTTTGCTCGCTCTCTTCCGAAACTATCATAGTATATCGAACATTGCATTTGCACAATGACTAAAAAATTTGATTTTTTGTCATTTGGAGGGACAACGCGCGATAAAATTTATTTTTAAAAATAAATCTGTATTAAATTTTCTTTTAGAAATGTAAAAATATCACATTGTTATAATATTTAATTAGTTTTCTAGATTTTTAAAAATATTCTCATCTATATTACAATCCATTTTCTCTTACAAGTATAAAAAGTGATGGTATTTTAATCTCGCTCTTACTCTGGGTTCTTTAAATAGCTTATTTTTAATCAATGAAAAAGCTAAAGTAATAAAAATGACAAACTGACTTTACACATTTGATTTTATACATTTCCAATAATGAGAGAATTACATTGCATTGTCGTCAACGGCGTTATCAGTCCGCAATGTTTTTTATCAGATTCTCGTTTGAGAGCAAAGGCCCCCCGGTCAAAACGTCAACGCGACCTAAGGCGCAGGCTTTCGAAATACCGAAAAGACAGGGCGTTCAAAGGAACGTGTGCGAGAAAAAGTCGACTCTTTAGTAGGTCAACGCCGATGTTGTTCCTTCCCTTCGTCAGGATTACGTCACCCGTATGCCTCCCGACTCTCGAGGCCCGCACGCCAACGCTCGTTTGTTGGTACACGTGAAGATATGCCGTGTGTGTGCGTATACGTTACGTATGTGTCTACTAGATTTATACACGTAAGCGTACACGTGTACGCACACATATGATATAATATCACAGTGTGCGTACTTGACCACCCACCAGTCCACCCACCTAGAAAACTAGAAAGATTTTAACGCATCAGGTATAGCGATCGATCTCATCGGAGAATCGTTGCTTGAAACAGGAAAATTACAAATTTTAATATTTTGTTTGGTGACCTTTTACGAAAAGGAATATAAATGTTGGCGATATAACTGTTTGCTTGAGTTAAATGGCTTGAGAACAGAGAGCTATCTTTAAAAAGCAAGATACAATATAATTATATGTATATTTTTTATAATATTTCTATAAAATATATTCTTTTTCACATATCCATTTACTTAAAAATGTGTTTCTCTATTTTTTTTTCAGGTTCCTGTTACACATACGCATCACTTGTACATAATTCAATTGTTGTGCCACAAAAATGAATCGTGCACATTTCGAGGGATTAACGCTTAATATAAAAATTGAAGAGGAAACCAAAGAAAAGAGGATTTCTCCGTGTGCTACTTCGTGATCGGTGAGTTTACGAGGGGTTTACGATATGTACGCGACTATCGCGTTAGAGGGAAGGAGGCGGGAAGAGAAAAGGCTATGCGGGTCGGGGTCGAGTCATGCATATCGATGCCGGCTTGTATGAATTTTGCATACTCTCCTACGATTTTGAAAACTACTCGTTCGCTCATAAATCCATAATCCGCCACCTGCCCATCTTAGCTGCAAATAGGATGCTGAAGAAAAGTCGTTAAACTTTTAATTTATGTACAATTTATATGCAACAGTCAAGTTTTTATATATTAATCGTAATATAATTTTGACTCGATTCGTTTTAAATTGACTTTATTTCAATTTATACAGAGAAATTAACAAATTGACAAGAATATATAAACTAGATTCCTTTCAATTTCAAATATTTATAAAAAGTGGTTAATCAAATGTCATTAAAAATCTCGTGAATAACAAGAATGGTTCGAAAATGAGGAACATTATCTTTGAAAAATAAATTCAAGTTGAAGTTGTAGAGTATCCCAGAATACTCTATAGAGTCTATAGCGGGGTTAACGTTTGAAAGAAACCGCCTACGTACGTGTGTTATTCTCTCCACCGATCGCAGTCAGCACG